AGGCGCCGAGCCATTTAAAAGTCTTTATACTAACCACTGGTCCTAATAAAGTCCCTAAATAAAGTCCCTAAATAATGTCCCTAAAGGAGCAGCACATTTCTGAGTCTTGAAGACCAACCCTGAAGCTGTTGCTTTATTGGGGGAAGGGAAAAATATATGACATTATGTCATTATTCACTCAGATGATGAAGAGGAACTTAAGCATATTTTTCTAGATGCCTTGTTCTATGAATTTCTTTAATTTGATTACAGTGGTTTTAAACAGTAGACTTAGCATTTATTGAGAGCTTCCTCCCAAATGGTGGCATTTCTGGTTTAAGCCAGCTAGGATTGCTGGTGCTGTTTAGAAATCCGAAGCAATCCAAGTGTAAGTTTAAGCTGGAAATTGGGTCAAAATAAAAACTGTGATGCTACAGGCTAAACTGTGAAGCACTGGCAATTTTCAATCTTTGGGGCTGCTTAGTCTCCCAAATTGCCTCCCAGAAAAATGAGAAGCACTCATCTTGATCTAATAGTGGGCATCTCTCTCTGAACAGGCAGGACTAGGGTAGATCTCCAAATCTAAAAATATTGATAAATGAATCTCAGCTATCTCTTTCAGGACTAAGGGGGTAAAATGCAGAATTTTTATAATTATGAATTTTACATTTGTGGAACCCCTGTTCAACCAATAGCAATCCCCTTACACACATATGTAAGAATAACAGCAAAATAAGAATAACAAATAATGGCTAATATTTTTATGTGTGAAGCACTATGCTAACTGCAATGTATGTATTATCCTTTACCTCATTTAATAATCCCAAACCTCTTAACCCTTTTTCAATAGGTATTTCCTTTACTCCATTGTACACATGTGGGAGGTAGTAGAGCCTAAGTGTGTTCCCGCTATGTTAAAACTGCCTTTGCCCATTCAAAACGCCTCTGTATAGCTTTTTAGCTTGAGTTATAATCAGTTCAAGTCACAATCTTTAGTACAATCTCAGCACATTTTTTAAAAAATGAATTTCTAGAAGTATTTAAAAAAAATACATAGTAGATCCTCTGTAAGTTGACCACCCAAGGGAATGCAACAAACTGGTTAACCTACGGAGGTGGGCAATATAAAAAACTAGGCCAGCTGTACTGATATATACATAGAGTGTATGTTGGTCTATGAAAATTAGATTAACTTCAGGAGGTGGTCATTGTAGGGAGATGGACAACTATGGAGGTTCTACTGTATTTGTAATAAAAGCAGTAAAAAGATCTCTCATAACAAAGGAAAATAAATATCATGATTAAAATTATTTTAATCTCTATATAGTAGCTTTACATAATGGCTTCAAAAGACTGGTCAGATTCCATGTTATTTATAATAAACAGCAAAAGGTCTCCTGACCACAAGACCAAATAACTATACTGTATTACGTGTATCAGCAAAAATGCTAAATTAAGGCCCACAACAAGCAAGTAGAACTATGCAGTTATACTTATCCTACAGATTTTCACAAAGCCAAGTTGAGGATAATGCATTATAAAAGCCTGTACAAAGTTAATTTAATTTAGTCAAATGTAGTTTGCTTTACAAACTCAAAACTATACCCTATAGCCAAACAGCCAATTTCTCCTCAAATACTTAAGTGAAGTTTTGAAATTTATTATAGCCCTGTAAAACACAAAACTATGGCTCGGCGCCTATAGC